TACCTTTAATTTCAGTTACAAGCTGAAGACTTCTAAAGGAAATATTATACATCTCATTTAAAACTAAAGAAAATTCCACAATCAGGTATCTATTGAAGTCTCTATATAAGCATTTATGAAAATATGGAGAAAAAAACTATACTTTTAAGTAGAACAGAACAAATAAAAATGCTTTTATTTCATACTGAAAAGGATAAGGGAGGTTTTGTCTCCCTTTTCTTTTATGAAACAAACAAACAAAAAAAAAAAACGGAAAAATCACGATTGAAAACATTAAAGGAAAATTGAGGTTTTAATGGATTTTATAAGGAAAACTCCAAATAGTAAATAGAATCTTTGTTGACAAGCCCCTTAGAAATTTCATCAACCCTGACTTACAGTATCAACAATATGGTTGGTTTTCTGATATATTTATTACTACAAAGAATGGTACTACTCATAATCTCAATACAATATTGCTATAAAAGATATTAAAATTCAATTCTTTAAAAATTGTGACATAAACTATGATTTCTGACTTCATAGGCCAATAAATGATGTTGAAACTCTGCCTTTAAAAAATTCCATAAATACTACCACTGAACTTTCCTTATGGAAAGTAATTTAAAATTATATACCTTTAATCTTATACAAATAATTGAGAACTATAAAAATGCTGCTGAAATCTTTTTATCAGACAGCATAATAGACCATCAGTTACAATACCACTGGGTTGTTCAAAATCATGGTACACAGTAAATAGAACGAACCACAAAACAGAAGTTGATAATCATCTTCAATTCAGTTATAACAAGAACACAACTTATATTAACAAATTATATAAGGCAGTAAAAGTATTGCTGCTCAAATGCAATCCATTTACAAATTTGTTACAAGTAGGTTATAGAAATATGAATTTTACTATAAATATATATAGAATGACAAGATTATTTTAGTAGTACTTTACACACTATTTGAGGTAGCTTTCTAGTTTTTAAGTAAATATTTCATGCATTCATTCAACAAATATTTATTGAGGGCCTACAATGTGCCAGGCATTATTCTACGTGCTGGAGATTCATTGGTAAATAAAAGTAATGTTTTAAAGTTACAAAGTCTACTTCAGAATTCCAAACTAGCAGAGGATTTTTTTAAATTGTTCTAGTAGGTGTATGATACTCCATATATCACAACTCAATATTTTCTCGAGTCATAATGCAGTGTTTGGTAATAAAACTATACCATATTTAACTTTGATATACTGTAAGCAATCTTGCTACAACATGAAAAATGATGTAGGAAATACAAATCACAATCACTATCTAATTCAATGACTTTCTTTTCTAGAAAGTCAAATTTAATAATTAAAAGATCATCATGAATACAAAATGAAATATATGATGATAAATATAACTAGACTATGTGTACATCCTCAATGACATAAACACAGACTGCAATTGATATCTTTGCTTAACGTCTTACTCAAAATCTTGAATTCTGCTTAATAGTGAAATTAAACTTTTTAAAAAGATCAAACTTTATCTGGTCATTTAAAAGAAGTTAAACTCTTTGCATTCTTACTTGATGAATCAAAGAAATTTAACTCCTTGGTATAATTTCCAAGTAAAATAAAAGTTGAACACTTTATCAGAAATCATAAAACAAAATCCTTTTACGATAAATGAAAGTCTACACAATGAAAGGACATCAATTGCAGTTGGGTTTATTTTTGCTTACATAGCCCCCCAAAAAGGCTGTCAGCACAAAACAAACCCTCCTTTATGTACAGACCTTCATAAGGTTCTATCTCCTTGACTCCATTGTCTAGGAAAAACAAAATAAAATAAACAAAACAAAACAAAAAAGGGAACCAAAGCACAGGGGTTAAAAACAACAGAACTTTCCAAAGGCACAGAAAGTATTGTCTATTAGAGAAAAGTTAAAAGGTGATTTAAACATATATGTATATTTGCAAAGCATATCCAGTTACCAAATAAAAGCATCATTATTAAATGATGTTAAAAATTATTATATTCTGTTATCCATGCTTTTAGAGGTCCCTTATCCAAAAATTTACAGATGTTTGGGAAGTATGTTCATATGTGTGTCAGCAAATAATGCTTTTTAGGCAAAAATTTGAAATTATTAAAAACATCAGTACAACATGCATCTTTCTTTGTATATTTATGATTACCTTTTTCTCGTTCTCCAGTTTTGAGAAGGATCACCATTGTTGTGCATCAGCTAACCAGTCCTTTGCAGTGTGTGAAAATTGATTTGGCTAGTTACTAATAAACTTTATGTAGCTATCAACAATCACATAAACTTAGTTGTAGCAAACAAATATCATCCAACTGCTTATTTAAGAGTATTAAGTTTACTTTTTAAAATACATTTATTCAAATTTGAAAAATATGCAAGAGCAATAAAGATAGCTTATTTTACCTCCCAATATTACAAATTTTAAATGCAAAATATATATTTATAAATATAACTATTATGAAATGCAGCCAAGGCATATAATTAACAAAAGAAGACAACTAACACAAAGGTAATAAGAAAATCTTGATTCACCTTGGCTTCCATGTGCATTTCCTATATGACATAATTAGAAATAAAACTTACTTCTCTCCAACGTTCCCTTTGGTGGAAGCTGTGGAAGCTGTCGGCCCCTTCGTCCTGCCACTGGAGTACTCGATGGGCTTGTCTGGACAGACCCAGTACGAGGATGAGACCTACAAGATATACCATTAATATTCATTTTCAGTACAATGATATTTTTAATACATTTGGTTCATACGACAGCTGTGTAAGTGCAATTTTAAAGGAGGTTTAGCTGCTGATTAAAAGGTTAGGAAAGTAGGACAAAATATGGATATTTGAATGATTAAATAGCAAAAGATGTTTATATTTTTGTGTAATATGCATACATACACATACATGCACACAAAGCCCTACAGTAAAATCCATAGAATTATTAATGTAAATTAGCATTTTATCCATATGAAAGCAAGAGAAGAATTTTGCAGCTCAAAAAATAAAAGGTAATACTTCATATTTCTTTCTACCAGATCCCAAACTCTTGATACTAACCTTCCTCCTTTGATCCAAAGAGATTTTGACTCAGGCTTATAATAAATATCCCTTTTTTAGAAAATATCTCATGACACTACAAATAAAACCCTGAACAATTCAAAATTCAGCTAAAGAAAATATTGGTTAATACCTGATATTTGTATTGATAGAAAGAAACTAAAAATATAGTTTTATTTATTGTCATTATGATGATTATTTGGAAAGTGATAACTAAAGAACACAAATATTTTCACATTCTGTAGGAGAAGAACATGATAGTTATGAGGGGATTTACCCAGGACTCTTGATTAATGAGAAATCACAAAACAAATGCAGTCAGGACAGTTAATAAACAAATTACAATGGTAGCCACACACTATTATATTCACTGAATATAAATAGTGTGCTTACATTGAAAAGGTTAGTATCGATTGTTATTAGTGATCAGCCAAAGATGATAGAAGACCATTTAGCTGCTGGGAAAATAAAATGGTGTGCTGGTGGGCAAAGGGGAAGTGAGTCTGATTGATTTATCTTTCACCTCGATAAGGCAGGTGAAGGAGGGGCAGATCTTCCAGTCATTAATGAAGGCATCGACCTCATGAGGTTTGTATCAGGACGCTCAGTGGATCTGGAGCGGGTGGTGGTCCGCTCAAGGAGAGGCCGCTGTTCTGTTGATCTGGATCTGTGATATGGCTGTCTATCTGCTGCTTCACAATCCCTGAAACGTTAGTCAAAAAGCAGCTCAGTTGATCTTTAGTGCCTTCTGCTATTTGGTTATGATGCATCAAACTGATTTTGAAAAAGGTAACT